AGAACATTAAAAGAATTAAATCTTGATAGTCATACAAACTAAAAGTTGATGAAATTTCAAGCTCCAGACCTTCAAAATCCTGGTAGCATTTTACCTCCTACATATAGCACATGACAATTGTCTACATTCATTATGAATTCTTTCTGCACCTGAATTATCAGAATTATTACCTGAATTATTACTATTATTTTCTCTGAATTACCAGGGTCTGGACCCAGCTGTTAGCACAGAGCAGATGTGATATACCTAAGGTAAACTGCGAGCTGACATTTCTTACTTTTTCAGTACCAGGTAAATTCTTGCACTGTGAAAGGATCACTTCAGCTAGCAAGTCCTTTCATCATAAAGTATTTAACTCACTGGTGAGAGTTTAAAATGGCAATCAAAATATAGTCAGAACTAGGAAATATTAGACTTTTCAATTTATCAAAAGACTGTTACTAATGCTTGCCTGTTCTTTAAAGAAAGATGTTTGTTTTATATGAAAATATACATCCCTGGTGATTTCAGACTTCAGAAAAATTATATGGAATGAGAGGTTGCTATTTGCCCTTAAATTTGAAAGAAGTTATCCTAATTTCGTAACTTATATTGTGGCTTTTAGTATTTGCTATATAGTAGTATTTACCTACCATATACCATTAGCTAAGTTTTATGATACCTCTGTCAGGTAGATGTTTTAAAAAAAGCAAAGAGAAGAAATATACAATGTTTTGAGGAAAAAACCCTCTAATCCATAATCCTGATGTGATTTCCTCACACCTTTCTGGGAAGAATCCTGCAGTGGAACCCCAGACTTCATGTTAAATTAGGGCAGAAAATAGTCTTTGCTCATAAAACATGCTTAGCATCCCACAAAACTCCAATAAAAGTGCTATTACATGGATTACCAATGTCTTAAACACTGAAAAGAAATACATATGAAAATACCCACTCTGTAAATAAGTTCAAGCATAAAAGCCAAGAGCAAATACTCAGGCTAATCTATAACATTTGATCAGTTTCAGATAGTAAACTGCAAAATATGTAACGCTGCAAGAAAGTAAAACTTATTGGCCAATCAGCCCAGAATACAAGTAGGAAGAACACAGCCCCAAGGGAGAGGCACATCTCATAAGGAAAATAACATGGCAAAGTCCATAGAACAAGTTTAAATATATCTTAATGCCAAGCCACAGTGCAAAACCAATGCATTTATTTTCTATTAATGACAAGGTCAGATATAAATCTGTGACTGAAATCTGCAGGTAACCTAACATTGTGCGGCAGCAACCATTCACCATATGGAGCAGCGTTGGTGCAGCGGGCCAGGAAGGGCATGAGAAGGGCAACTTTCCAGCTCACTCCGCTACCCCTCCCGGCAGATTTGTGTCCGGTTGAAATTTCATGCCAAAAGAGCTTTACAGCAATGCCCAGAGAGGAAGAACAAGATTAAAAAGGACGTAAAGAAGGGGGCAGGGAGCTATAGATGTTTTAAGAGAAAGCCAGCAAGGTATAGAGATACAGGATGATAAAACCATTGTGCAAAAGAAAAGATGAGCTGTTCAAAAGGAAAGAATGGACTGGCAGTTGACGAATGCTGAATATCATGAACAGATGAAGGCAAATGCAGGCGAAAGTGCAACTACTTTAGGATTTTATTTTTAGTCATATTGTTAAAGAAAAAGGGCTTTCAAAGCAGAGTACTTCATGGCTAGCATGTTCATCTGCCTTTAATCAGGATGTATAAAGACTACGTCACCAGCATAAAGGAAACTTTAAACGTCGCTGTAAAATCTTTACTGAAGAAGAGTTTAAACTGCAAGTTACAGATCCTGAACCAAACTTCCCAAAGTTTGGAGCACCAGTATTTCCGAATGTTTATCATTAGAAGTGCTTTGAAGAGCACTTAGAGGAAAGGGTTAATTTTTTTCTATTATCAGTAATGCCAAGGATAGTAAGAATTAATTCATGCAAGTTGTAATGGATTCTCAAACCCAGAAACATCTCTCTCCCATCGGAAAACATTAATGAAATTTGACGTAATTAATGTAAACTCGGTCTACTGACATTTATAAACCAGTCACATCAAATTCCCCATTTCTAGCCATATTAGCTCTTACACATATATTCTTACCATCATGAAAGAACTGACATTAAAATTCAGAGATGGCAAGCAGAAAGCAAGGTTACTTATTGAAGCAGAAGGAGCAGACACTCCACCAAACTGCCTGGCCTTCTGCTAGGCAGAGTTCTAAACCCAGCCCGGAGACACTGAGAAGAATCAGAGCGACTTTATATTCTGGAAAGGTGCATTTTCTACAGAGCATTTCTTTGCTTCTGTTGAAACATATGAAATATTAATGTCAATTCGTTACACATCAATGCATTTGTATACTCCCCTGCTATCAAGTGTCCAAATGAAAACAGTCTGTTCTGAATGATTTACTCCTGAATCATCAGCCAGCTTTCTTCTACAAATCCAGATCTTCACTATTCACCAAATCACATCTATGACTGACAACCTTTTAGAAAAGATGTTCTCTCTGTTAAGTTTCAGAAGGGTACCAGCGTACAGGTATTTGATGTGCTACAAAACTTGGTATTTAGAACAGATATAAATGTGCTAATAATAAAGTAAAAATACATATAAAGGCTATAAAACATGATGGTTTTAAGTTTGTGGGCTGGATCCAGCGTGCAAAAACCACTCAATTCAACCTCCAGCAGTAAAGTCTCTGCGACCATCTTTCCAGGAGGTCCATTTTTCCAGGAGGTCCCCAAACACACGTGGGAAGAGGCTGAGGGCTGGATGAACTCTTCCGGCAACCCATTTGCTGCTGTTTCGGTCCCGGGGTTCCCCCACCTCCCCTGCCTCAGCCCATCATGTGAGTATGCTGCGGACTGCCTCAGCCAAAAGCTTTGCAGCAGAAAATCTATTTAAACCAAAGCTAAAGACTACATGAAACCACAGCGCCTTAAAATAAATCCCAATTTTGACTCACATGATGACAATCCTAATTACTCCATGATTATTTCTGTAAGTACCAGTCTAATACCTTTATTTCCACCGATAGTCAGACTTGCCTGGCTGCTGTCGCTCACTACTGCACCGTCCTCAGCAAAGGAGACAAAAGTTATGTCTAATGGTAGTTCAAAAAATACATTCACACAACCACTTCCCTTTGAAATATGAAGATACATTGCTAAAATCATTCATTCTGGTTTTGTTGTGGGGCTCTTTGGTAAAGGAAATTACAGCGTCTCAGAAATGTCTATTCTTCCTTCATATTCACATGCCCTTTTCTCTTGCTGCACAGGGTGGAAGAAATATAAATGTACTTGTTGATTGATGTTACCGTAATAATCCATTATCGGGGGAAAAACAATTTCAGAACAAGAGTCACTAACTACATAATTCCCTTATGAAATACAACAGTGGTTCTGAGTTAAGGATTATTTTTTTTTAATGAACACGGGTATTTTTCCCATTTGCTAACTAATGTACTCATTCTAATGTACTCACTGTAACCTTTTATTTTTAAAACCTTTTTCCATTTGTTACTAATGAAATATAATTATTTCCAATCTCAAGATCCTGAGCAGAAAACTCCACTTTTTTGAGGCTAGGGAAAAAAACCTAAAAACACACACCACTATTGTATTGGTCACTGCAGAGATACACAAGTGGAAGGCGGAAGGTCAGCACTTGGGAAGGGTAACCTTTCAAAGACTGAGAGGAAAAGTGGACTAACAGAATAACTTCAACAATATATACTGTCTCAGTAGGATGCCAATTTACTTGTACTTTCATTTTGGCCTTGGTACAGCCACACAGTTTCAGTTAAACCATTCAGTCTGCATAGGTATACTCCAGGGTTGTATATATGTGTGTGTATACACACACACACACACACATTTTAGATATACCTAATCCAGGTACTCTTTTGCTGTAAGCTACTAAAATATTATGAAATCCAAGGAAACTTACTAACTATTAACATCAAAACCCCTAAATTAGCTCGTGGTACGATTTGCAGTAGCTACTGCTAAGAAATTAGGTTTTAAGATTTACTAACACATGCAGAGGAAAAAGATACCAAATTGAAACACATTTTCTGTCAGAAAAAGACAGAAAAATTGAAGATGGGAAGTCATGCCTTTAGTTGTACGTTCATATGAATTATAAAGATTAAAAAGAAATGCAGTGTTCAGCACTGATGGAGCTATATATCTCTTTCAGGCAGATAAGACCAGATTGCATAATGTGACTGGTAATAAAGATGTACTTGTAACATGAAAATAGGTGTTATGTAAAATAAAGAGGAGTCTTTCCCCTCATTTGTCCTAAAATGTAAAGGATGCTTGATCACCATAATTTGCAAACTTTATTTTTTTCAACTTCTACTTTGCAGATATTACCTAATTTTAGTATTTGAGGGGGGGGGGGGGGGGGGGGGAAGACTAATCAATTTTGCAGTGCATGGAATACAAATATAATTTGAATATAACTGCTAGTACAGCTGATTTTATGTTGATTTCTACGTCCTCAGATTTTCCAAGCTTAATGTAAAGAGAGCTGCCAATACATATATGAAGATACAAAGTAAGCAAAAATTGCATTCACCACCCAAAATGTATCTTTGCATCCAAAGACACCACAAGTTCAAGTACATTAAAGGCCCAGTGGTGAAATATACACTGACTTGATTTGGATGCAGTGAATTCAGCAATAGGTAAAATGTCTCAGCACATATGTAGCTAAATCAGGTTTATATATTTTGCAAAAGAAAGCTTACCTGCCCATTTTTTCCCAGTTCCATTTCAACTATTGCCACAGGAGTGTTTATCTGATCGATGTGTCTTGACTGCGACTTCATATCCACTCGCCAGTTCATGTTTTTCAAGACATTATCCCAACGGCTTTGATTGATCAGGCTCTCATGGATCTTTATTCGGTGGTTCTTCCAAAATTTTGCAATGACTGCAGCTTGATCAGATGTGATGCCACCTTGTTTTTTGGTTTGGGCGGTGAGAAAAGCCTCCAGCTGATTCAAATCCATGTCCGCTGAAGCAATTGACT